GCTTGTCAATATCAATAATTGGCACCATTATTATTACAATATTTACGAACATTATAGCCTAGTGGGCAGTGGGCACTGGGTGCTATAAATACATATGTATCAGGTGCAGGATACACAGATAGTGAACAATTTCTGCTTTCATTTATTAAGTATCAATACAAGATACACAAAGAGTGAGTAATAATTTTCAAGAAATAAGGAACCCAATAGTACAACTTTTGCAGTAAATCGGCTCTTTATTAACCCAATAGTTTGTCGAAGAAATGCCTTAAAATAGTACAAAAACGAAAATTAATTCCTAAAATAGTATTGCTAAAAAAAATAATTTCTAGAATGGTACACTTTTCTAGAATTGACAATACTATCCTTTTGGCTTGGCAGAGCCTGCTCAAACTCTGCTTACAAACTGCTAAGGATGACAAAGGCTAATTGAAAACTGTTATGTCTGCCAATTTTGGTAAGACTGTTTGTGTGACTTTAGCATAAGTTGCAGAAACTCTGTTTAAACAATACAAAAAATAGAACAGGCTAGGCAGAACGAATGCTAGGTATATTGTATACGTTATGTTTGCGTAAGATATAGCCCATTTGCATAGCTATATTCTTATGTCTGCATAATTGTTCTATAAGTTTCATAAGCTATAGTAGAGAAGAGGAAACATGGACAACTCGGAAAGAAAGAGTTTTAGCAGAGATTTGCATATCAGCTTGTGTTTGGTTTTGAGTTCGATTAAAGGGATATTGATGGCGAGAATTATGGTTTCTAATTGATTTTGATAGGTTTAAATATTCTGGGTAAATTCATATCTTTTGAGAACTTAAATTCGATTCTATTTGACCTTTATTTATGCAATTGCAGATGGAACTAATTCCGACAAATCCAGGATGCTAATTTTGAAACCCTTTGTTCCTATTACACTAAAGCCTCGTTTTTTCCATAACATTCGTCACCATCGTACTGCCAATCACCATTAAAGCTCAAGACATGTGAACAAAATGGCGGCAATTGACTTGTTGAATCCGAATCCAGATGGGGAGAATTGACTTGGGCTAGTCTTGAAGTCTTGTGGCAGTTTTTTTCCTCATCTCTTTTGTCATTGTTGTTGCTGCTCTAAAGTATTCTTTTACCGCTGCGTTACTCCTTTTCATTCTAGTCACCCTTCTCTAGCTTCTGTAATGTTGTTTAAAAGGCAGAGAATTTGTAGAATATTGAAACGATTTGTTCTTATTCATAGCAGAGAGATTGAGAGGTTGTAGAATATTGACACCCATGGCAGAGATATTTGTTGAATCCGGAGCTGCTGATTAGCTGCAGTATTTTGCTATTGACTTGATCAAGAGATACTCGTATGACGAATATATTTGTGCTGCAGTATATCTTTTTGGATGTGATTAATCTCTTCCTATCTCTGCTCCTTCTTTTTATCAACGTGCTCCAAGACTATGTAATTGCTTCAAATGTCAAAAGTCTTTTATCTGCATAGATTTCTTGGTTGTAAAGAAAATTTGAATGGTGTATCATGACAGTGGAAGGCTGGAAGCCAACACATTATACCTGTGAAAGTTGTTGGCTTTAAAAGTCATCTACTCGTTGATGTTGTTTACACCTCATTTTATCATCGACAAAAGCATCTGCTTCTTTATGTTATTAAGGTGCCATCCATTTGTTCATGTAAGACAATTATTGCTTAAGCGACAACATACAACTTGTTTCACGTGAACGAGTTAGTCTTATAGATTCTAAGGAACATAGTCCATCTTCCACATCATGAGACCAACCAGACTATGTTACTCCTTGAACGCACAGAGCAAGGCAAGGGCAAAGTGGTCGTTTGTTGATTTAAAACAAAATCTGCATGTTTGCGTCTCTGGTAGAGTGTACTTCTTTAGTCCGCGTAAAGTAGACAATAAGTCTACAATGAACGCGCAGAGAAAGGCAGGGGCAAAATGTTACGATTTATATACAAGAACATGTATTTTTTACCATTATAATACCATAATGTTCTAGGTGACATAAACGGTAATCCCCACAGATATTTTGGGGGCCTAGCGCCTAGGCACCTGGGTGGGCGCGTAGAACTCTTTTCAGAGTAGTTGACGCGTACACAATTGTTCACCGAGGTTTTACCTCGTTGAGTGAATTAGGGTTTGGCAGACTGAACCTTCACAATTGGGCTTTTTCTTCTTCTAGATTCCAAGGAACATAGTCCATCGTCCGTCAACTGCGTGACCTTAATAAGAGCTTTTGAGCAGGGAATGGACATAGTTGATCGTGTCGCCCAAAGACTCTTGAGTAGGGGTAATTACCAACACCGTCCTCACCAAGATAATAATCTTCAGTAGTACCTCCAATCAGAAGCTTTTGAGGAGGGATTGGTTGATAGTTTGGTAAACGAGCTGCTGCGATTTTCACTTGTTTTATGGTATGGCCCTCCTCCCTTGAAACCACTCCAGTTTGTATGTTGTGGGGTGAAACAAATTGTATGTAGTGACGAGTATGTTGTCGGTTACAAAATATTTGCCTTACGTCAACAAAAAAAGCCTCACACGATATCTACCTTAGCTTTACTACATTCTCTCTGTATTGTTTTATCGAAAAAGACTGAGAACACAAACAAGGTTTACAATCTCTCTGCCCTAGGTTTCAATATTCTACAATATCTCATTTACAATTTTTCTGCCATGGGTTACCATTAAAGAATAAGAACAAGTCGTTTCAATCTTCTACAATTTCTCAGCCATTTATAAGATCTGTTTAACAAAGCACAACTTCAATGGATGCAACACAATCAGAGATCAAAAACAAGAGAATCACACTACATTACCAAACATTGGACTCCACGTCCGGGTTATTATATCTAAGCAAACTGCGCCCAAAGTGCCACAAACACGAATCGTAGTTTTAGCGCACATAAACACTAACACATCTCGAAACTAGATCAATGCCACTCTTGCAATGCAATGAAAAATGATAAAAAAATATGGTTTTCATCTCACTTACGATTCATCTACATTGGGATGATAAATCTTGTTAACAAATCCTACTGATGGAGATATGCATGGAATATGGATAAGCTTCAGGAAGTTCCACTACAATCTTCCATAAACCTTCTTGATAAAGAATTTCAGCAAAGAAACACTTTTAACTTTCGTTTTTCCAACAAAGATTCATTTGGTCCTATGAAGATCCTATACACTTAATCATAATTCTAAGTATAAACCATCATGTAAATCCCAATTCAGTTCCTATTACAAATAGATGATGAGAATCTGAAGTACCGTGAAAACCAAACCCCACAAAGACTCTTTTTTGTCTAATGCTGCCGCAATCGCAGCTTCTTGCAAACGAACTGCGTTTGCTCGGAGAAAGCCATGACGATTCTCCATCTTCTTCTTTTTGGTTTGATAGAGAGAAGATTCAAAAATGAAGAAATAATGAAATTAATAATAAAAAAAATAGGCAGGAGCTAAATCTACGCTAAAACTCTCCACGAATTCTCCATCTTTCTTCATCTCTACTAAGCATGTTAAACTTATAATTTTTTTTTGTAGACCTAAGTTTATACCTCCGCAGATGCTGATATTTGATTGCAAATATAATGTAGACAATACATCATGAAGATTTTGCCTAGTTTTAACACAGTTTGCCCAACCTCTGCAAACAGTTTAACAAAATTGACAGATTTAACAGTTTTTAGCTTAGTCTTTATTGTCCTTAGCAGTGTGTAAGCATACTCTGCCAAAGCAAAATGGTAGAATTGTCATTTTTTAAAAAGTGTACTATTTTTGGAATTAGATCTGGAAAACGTACTATTTAAGGGACTCTCCCTGGTTTGTTTTGGAATGCATTCTTTGGCTTCCTGTTTGCCTCTAACATGTTGTCTCAAGTATATGGTATCTAAATACCATAAACCCTTTTGAAATATAATGATCCTCAAAATTGCAAATTATGAAAGACAACACACGGGTTTACTAAAACCCAAGTGCATGTCGTGATCCTTGAAAAGCCAAGAAGTCTGTCAAAGCTGCTAGTTAGAACACCAAGGAAACAAAAATACAGACCTCATGATCGGCTTCACTCCAGTGGTCGTTAGCCATTGCCCAAAGCTCAACAACCTTTAAAACGTCTCGAGCTACTTCGGTTTCAAATGTAATAACTAGATTCATGATTTTACCAACATGGATTGGATGACAATAATTTATAAGTCCCTAATGAAATGTGATGATATCTTCCAAGTGCCTCAATGATATCCAAGACAATGTACCACAAGCTCACAAGAATGTGTATGAAACGCCACAACAAAGAACAAAGATCCCCGATATGTGTGTTGCGGTTTCCTCCTTCAGCTCTTTTATATTTCAAGGCCACATGAATGGGAGAAAGACCACATGACGTAAACACACAGCTTCCGGCTTAGCGTCGTCTCCCCAAAGCCAAGCTACTGATGTTTCTCACAAAATGGGAGACAACTAAAGCAGAGGAAGAGCCACCTCCAACAATCTGTACGTTCTTGGCCCTCGAGAATCTCGTCACATATTACTACTCCATTTGTGTCGTCTTTAAAGGCTTGGCTGTGTTCAAACTCACAGCTCCCATTAGTGATACTATCATAGCTGTCTTCGAACACTTGGTCTAATCTAGATTCATAGCTCCCTTCCTTTGTATCATCGGTCGAGACATAGGCACCACACTCAATAATTTCAAAGCCATGAGATTTCATGATGAATTCGAGCATGATCTCTCCGCTCACTTCAGAGGGATCGATAAATGACGAGCCAGAGTCCAATATAGCATGATGTTCAGTTCGATATTCGGAGACACGACCTAGAGAGAAATGCTCCTCAAATTTGAGTTTGCCTATGCGACGGCACAATATCTTTGGTGTATATCTACTATATTGGCTGATTTGATGGTTAGGTGACACCACGATGCAAAGCCTAATAGTAGATAAAGCAGAAATAGGACTGTTACCATCTAGTCGAATGGTCAATGAATTTCCTGTGGCTCGGTGTTCAAACTCTGCAGGTATTTCTCTTCCTGGTAAGATAACCATTTGGCAAAAAAAACGAACTTTGGATAATCTCTTGTTGTGCTTGTTCGCCCAATTTGAAGCAGTTGGTGAAATCGAGTTCCACATATCGAATGTGATTCAGAAGGCAATATACGGTTTCCAGTGATTCACAATCGGTTGCATAAAGGAACGTATTGGAGATAGCTTGGGGAACAAGACGTGTAGCTTGGGGAACAATTGTTGTGGGGCATCAAAGCCTGTCTACGAAGTGAAGCCCGTGAAGCCCAAACCGAAGAATATTCTAGATCTCTACCTTACTTCTTGTACAAGCATATTTACATTGTGTTTAGAAAAGTTTACATTATGTTGGTGTTAGCATTAGGTTAATGTTACCACTATATATATATATGTATCCTGTGATCTCATATCAAGGACAACTCAATACAATATATTCTATTCTATAATATTTAACATGCTATAAGAGCAGATGATCCTTGTGGATCATAATTAAAAGCTTCCGCATTAGAAATCCTATAATCCCACTTTCAAAAGAGATTATGGGAGTCGTGATAATTGGAGGAGACGACATCGAAGTTGGTGGAGATGACGAACCAGACGGAGACGATGATATGAACGGCTTCATGTGACGTGCTTTTACAAATTCAATGGTTTTATTGTTTTCTCGTTAAGGTTTTTTTTAATTAAAAGTTAGTGGGTTTTGTTATGGTTTGATTTAGATACACGTTTCTTTAGTATTCTTAATAATTAAGAGTTTAGTTTTTCGTAGTGTGGTTTAACACAATTAGTATTGTCGGCAGATCTTTGAAAAATTATTAAGTCTAGGGTTCGGGGTTTTCACAATGTTTTATTTCTATATTTTTGAGATTTTATTATGGAGTTTATAAAATTTCTCAGTGTTTTGGTTTCTCCTATAACGGGGGAGTTTGGTTGTGGTTTTAGGGAGTTCTAGTTAGAACGTTCATGTTCTTTAGGTCAATATTTTTTTCTTAAGTCCGATTTGTGGACTGTCCGAGTAGACAATTATTTGTGGAGTTGCAAGTTGCACCCATGCGATGTTTTTCTCTTTGTTTATCAAACCAAAGACGAGCTGAAGTTTCATCTCTATTTTGAAGATTGAAGTTTATACCCAGAGGAGTCTGTTGACTTGTTTTGTCCGTTCTGGAGTACCACGTTTGTCGTGCGGAGGAGTATTGGAGATAGCTTGGAGAGCAAGACGTGAAGCTTGTGGACCAATTGTTGTGTGGCATCAAAGCATTTCTATGAAGTGAAGCCCGTGAAGCCCAAACCGAAGAATATTCTAGATCTCTACCTTACTTCTTGTACAAACATATTTACATTGTGTTTAGGAAAGTTTACATTATGTTGTGTTAGCATTAGGTTAATGTTAGCAATGATGCGAGTCTTCTGCAGCCATATATATATAAAGGATACGTAGCCGATGAAGAGCTTTGATGCAATCTGGAATCCTTTCAATACTTGAATTGCTTAGGTCTAGACACCATAAACTCGTGGGGGGAGATGTGTTATTCCCTTGAGGTTTCCACTTTTCTTTACAAGGAGAGAGTCAAGACGAGAGCAAAGCGTCATTGATGGAGGCACATCTTCAAAGGATGTGTCTGATATATCCACCGTAATGAAGTTGGTTGAAATAAATGAAAAATTTCTCAATTTTGAGCACCTTTTCATGTCGATGCGTTCTAGGGATGGCAAATTCAGGTCAGGTGGAGTGACTTGTAGGTTTATGCAGTCCCCACAGGTCTTTTAGTTTCTGCAGATACTGAAAGGACGATGGAATCTCTACCAAACTCTCTCAATGATTCATGTCCAATTCCTCCAGATTTGTAGCATTAGAAAAATCCGGGTGTTCTTTCAGATTCTTCGACCCAAACAATTTCATCTTCTTGAGATTTGTTAGCGGCTGAAATTAAAACAACACAGCAAATGACATCATATAACATGAAGATAACGCAATTAATTATACATACATATATGATGTCATATAACATGAAGAGAAGCTACGACACCAACCAGGGTTCCTTGCCAGAGGTACTCGAGCTTGCTATGCCGCATATCGAGTTCAATGTAATATTCAGGATGAAATGCAGGGGGAAGACATTTGTTTGGGTACGTCTCCCAGTGTAGTAACCTTAGCCGACGCGGAAACTCCATCTCCTCAGGTATATACATTCTATCATTCCCATCATCTCTGCTTTTGTAGACACTGAGAAACTGAAGATTAGACATTCTTTTCAAAGCTCTCTTGCTTACGACCACTTCATTGATTCCTGATATATCAAATGATATGCCGGACACAACACTAGTAATACCCTACACCAAATTCCATATAAAATGAAATTAGTAGGATCATAGGTAAGATTTATTCATCTCAACCAAATGACTTGTTTATAACTAATTAAGATCAGGGAAGTAATTTACTGTTTCATTTTCGAGCACATCACAAATCTCATGAGCATCTATTAAGATTTGGCGTTTCCAAGGCTCTTGTTTACGAATGACTTTTCTAGCCATTTGTTGTAGTAATATGTGCATCTCTATTCTTTCCCCACCTGCAGATATCTCTATCAGAGATCTATAGAGTAGGATCTTCAAACCGCATTTGACATCCAAGTTATCGGCAGAAAACATAGCTTTCACAAGATCACCACCTCGATAGTTGAAGAAGACTGCAATGTGGAGAAATAGCGTTTGCTCGTTCTCATCTAAACTGTCATACCCGACTCTTAGTACGTCCTCAATATCTTGATCAAGAATAGTTTCCAGCCTGTTTATTACATCTTCCCATTCGTCTTCCTCCTTCCCACGTAATAATGAACCCACCACACTTAGACCCAATGGAAGCTTACACAAAGCTCTGTTACTCTTTCAACAAGCTTTTCAAAACCATCATGTGGATAGCTTTTTCTGAAAGCATATCTACATAAGATCTTGATAGCTTGTTCGTAAGTTGGAAACCCCACATGGTAGGTATTGTTGATACCATGTTGTTGCAAAAGCTCTTTGTTTTCAGTAGTTACTACAATCCTACTTCCAGGACCAAACCATGTAGTTTCATTAGCCAAGGCCTCTAATTGCTCAAGTTTGTTCACATCATCAAGAATGAGAAGCACTTTCTGGTCGCATAGATTTTCTTCTATTGCACCTAAATGGCATATCCTCAAATCATTGTGGTTCAAAACCTTTGAAAGAAACTGTTCTTGTAAACGCAGCTTCAAATCATACTCATCAAAACCACCACGATAGCTTCCCCTAAGGTTGTCTACAAAACAAGTGAGCTGAAAACTGCTAGAGAGTCGGTTGTATAAAGCTCTGGCAATGGTAGTTTTACCAATTCCTGCAGGACCAGAGATTGCAACCATCTTAACTCCGTCATAATTTAAATCTACCAAAGACTCCATTTCCCTCAAATGAGCCTCAAGTCCAACCATGCCATCAAAATCCCTAGACGGTGAGACATTCAGTTTATCTAAAACATCTTTGGCAATCGTCTCAATCATTTTGGCTTCATTGTCCCTAAAATGAAAAGAGAAAGAAAAAAGCATTGTTTCTCATCAAATAATCATAAGAGGGAAAAGATACCATTAGGATTGTCTCTGTTCCAATAATCTATGAAATGGAATGACAATATCCATTCAACAAGAAATTCCATACTCATACTACAAAAGCATTCCCTTAACCATTTAACTTCTATTCTATTCACCAAATTTCCTCCTAATTTATAAATAAAACACTTAGAGCATAAGAAAAACAAACCAAATTTAATCAAACACAAACCAGTTTAGGAAGTGTTCTCCGGCTATGTTGCCAACCTTGTTCAAAGCTTTGCTCCATGTTCGCCTCTCCTCGTCTGTTTTACGAGAGCATGTTTTCTTGAAAATTTTCCCAAAATCTCCCGTTTGTTTCCGTGCATCAGACGGATCTACTCCGTAGAAGATGGTCATCACTATTTGTCCCATATCTTTCTTGCACTCCAAAATCTCCACCAATTCTTTTAAACACCAGCTCGAAGAAGCATACTTCTCCGAGAGCACCACGATCGAGATCCTTGATCCTCTAATCGCTTGTGTGAGCGCAAAGGGGATGGTTTGGCTTCTCTGGATCTCTTGATCATCGAACATCGAAATCCCGTTGTAGTCAAACTGCTTGCGTAGATGACTAAGAAATGTTTTACGAACATCTTTTCCGTGGAAGCTCACGAAGACGCGGTGTCTCCAGGTCCGAGACAAAGAAGAAGAGGAAGCCATGATAGAGGATAGTTCGTGGGTGGTTCAAAAACATAGATTCAGAGAGATGTGTTTGGAAAAGTCAGAAATAGAGGAGAAAAAGGCAAGCGTTTACTCACATAGTTGACTCTATTATTGACTTGGTGACTATTGAGTGAGAGAAATCTAAAAGTTCTAAATTCTTTTGGTCTTTTAAAACTGAAAAGAATTTCAATTACTACTGTTGATTTTGATCTCACCTACTCCCATCTACACCAATATTTTCGTCGGTTGCGACAAAAATGTAAGTTAAGAAATGAGCTTCTTGATTACTCGCAAACAAAATAAAAAAGCTTATTCATTACTCTTTCTATTTACCCTTAAGTGGAGTTCGGCGTATTTTCCTTATGGTTCCCATCACGCCAAGTGAATCAAATGGCAGACATAATCAATAGGTTAATGCAGAAACATTTCAAGAAACCGAATGGCAAAATGAAGAAGATATGTCATCATACTTTTAATGGCTTGAACGTGGAACAGTTTCAGTCAAACCTAGAAAAATAAACTTCAGGTGTGTATACTAAAGTGAATGAAAATGAGAAACAAATCAGGTTACTCGTCGCAAAGTGTTTCGAGCTTCATCAGTTTCCATTACAAGAGCTAAGTTACAGAGTTTATCAATATCAATTGGACGATAATGATATATGAGTCTTAAAAGATATGAGATACCTTTCAGGTGCCTCCACGATATTCAAGACAATGTACCGAAAGCACACAAGAATCTGTATGAAACGCCACAACAAGTAAGAACCAAGATCCTCAATCTGAGACAAACGCCACAATTCGAGTCAGACTCAACTGCAATTCTCTACGAATTCAGCAATGTCTCTTTTGTTTCGTCATATCAACTAAAAGCATCACATATCTCCATGTTTCTAGGCTTCTTACGTTAAATAGCTAGTCATCCAAATTGCAATATGTTAAAGAAATCCAAAATTGCAATATGTTATTATCCTAGTCAAATTGCATATAGACATGAATCGGATACGGTCATACTGAGATCATAACTAAAATCTATTCTTTTGCTTCCCATTGATGGCATCAAAAGATTCATCGACGAATCTAAAACTAACAGACCACAAAAACAAACCTCGACATGGCTTATAATCTATGAAACACGACCTCCATTGAAGATAGCCATCAACTCAAGCACCAATTTATCATCATACTTCACCACATACCTGTTTAAGAAGACCTGATCGGTATATGTCAAGACAGATGACATTGGAGGGATTTCACTTCCGAGCAATCCTTTCGACATGAGAGCTTTGATTACGTTACACCTTGGTACAATTCACATAGCGAGATTGATGTGTTCGAACGCAGGTCCTTGAAGGAGAAAGCATTAAACTTGCCAAAGAACCATTTATGTTCTTGAAGTTTGAACTGTGATCTCTTAAAGTCCCAACTCTATTGCCTGGAACTTAAACCTCTTTGGCCAAAAGAACTAGTAAAAGTCGCATTTTTATGTTATTTTCCCAAGTTGGATTGCATATTGAGATTACAAAAGTCTAAGATTGAGGTTTCTCAGATATAAAGAGATGCAAAATCCTTGACACGAGAGGTTCTGATCTATGAAACACGCCCTCCGGTGAAGATAGCCATAAGCTCAGCCACAAGCTCCTTGTCATCATGTATCTTGACATACTTGTTTAAGAAGGCTTGATCAGTAATAGCAAGCACATGCGACAGTGGAGGAAGTTTACTTGCGAGCAAACTTTTCAACATGAGAGCTTTGATTACATTGCACCTTGGGACACTTCTCTTCTCCAGGCTGTATCCAAATACCGAAGGGTTTGAAACCAAAGCCTTTAGTGACCATTTCATCTTCTTCACCAGAAACTCCGTCTTATTCTTCACTGTCTCTGCAGATAATCCAATGCACGAAGGATAGCTCTTGACCATCATTGCAAACTCATCTCTGCTGAATCCTAGGCCTATAAATGTTTCAATGGAATTCTCTATTTTCTGCTCTGAAGCACCAAAGCATTGCGGAAACTTCGTCAACACTGAGAAGATCTCGTCTTCAAGTAGTCCACACTTCTTCAGAGTTTCAAATCTCAGACTTATCTTCTTCTCTGAGTGTGTTAGAGAGAGTGGCCATTTCTTGAACATTTCCCATACATCTCCCACAGCAAAGCCTAACCTTTTATAGACTTGGACTTTTTCTTCTAAAGCTTTGTCGCTTTTTTCGTAAAAAACTCGCAGAGCATGGACAAACTTTGAGGTGGTGGGATCAAAACCCATGTCAACAACCTTCTTGAGTGATTCATCAAATCTCTCTTTTCCACCGATAGGTCCGCGACCGGATGTAAGCAATGAGAACAACCTCTTTTGAGGGACACCTAATTCTCTTAGAACCGATACATTTCTCATTCTATTCTCCTGCTCACTACCCTGTGCCAAAGAATGACATAACTTTTCAAACTTGGAACTCTTATCCGCTTTTATAATCTCTTTGACGAAATCGTAGTATACGCTTATGACTTTGTTCCCTTTCAATGCCAAGATTTTTGGAACTTTTGAAAGAATCTCAGTGAGCTCAGAGCTTGAAGCTCCTCCTCTGGACTGCAAAAACTTAAGCTTGGGACCAATTGATTTCTCAGCATCTAATACAAGCAATCGTGGGTAGTTCGTAATGATGGTGGAGATCTGAGAATCTGTGAACCCATGGCTTCTAAAGAGATTCAGAACGGAATCAGGATTACCCTTGCCCTCGAAATTGGCTTTCCTCGAGATCGATTCTGCGAGTTTTGTGGGTAAACCAAGAGAATCAACGAGGTAAGAGACTGTAAAGTTCTTCCCTTTTCCACCATCTTCAGGGCCCAAATCAGCAACAACACTAGCGGAGGAGAAGGAACTGGAAAAAGAAGATGCATTTTGCAAAGGGTTCACTAAGAATCTCAAACTACGACATTTCTGAAATTGGACCAACCTTCTTCCATGGAGAATCAGAGAATACATGTGAACACGATGAGATTACTAGATGCTTGAAACGACACAAAAATTCTTCAAACTTACAAGCGTTGGAGAGAACAAGGAAAGACTCACTTATCGATCAGTGACTCGTGCCTGTAAAGATCGATGAGTGTTCGAGAATCCCAAACTCACTCGCCATGGGGGAAGGAAGGAAGAAAGAAAAGGGTTTATGAGCCTAAAGGTCTCTCCAAACACGACAAGGTGAATTCTAACCATCAATTTTTTTTTTAATTGTCCACTGAAAAGTTTGTTTTACCTTCGTTGAAAAAAAAGCGTCTTATAAAAATCGTTCTAGGCGTTCTAGTATACATGGTTCAACATCTCCTCATAATCAATCTGCAGCTCCTATGAAAAAACCTCAAGCATCTTCACATTCTTCTCCTGAGATATTTCAGGTAATTTTTCACTAATTGCTCAGCCATTTTATATTATTATGTGATTTTGGCTTGTTAGAGATTTATATTTTTTTCACTTTATATATTACAATCTTTTCAACATTGCAGCAAAACACTCCAAAAGTCACTAAGAATCTATAC